TCTAGGGTGAATATAGCCTGATCAACTATATTCAGTCGAGACATGACCAACATGTGCTTGGGAGTGACTGTGGTGTTACAGCAGGCCTAAAACTTACCAAAATCATCCCACATAAAATACTATAGGAGTATTTTAGCTAGAACCAAACTCAGTATACAGATTCATTCCAAGTGTTGATACCACTATCTTCTTAAGCGATAACTTACTTGCGTTAGTAACCTTTATGTGCTTATCGCTCGGTAGTATACTTTAATTGTCAGGATGAGATATATCTTGTTTTATATATATCTCGAGGACTTACCATCCTCTTATTCCTGATTGTCTCTAGAACAAGATGCCTCCCCGACCAAGACCCATCAGAAGGAACGACGACACTCCACCACCCCCTCAGTTCGATCCCGTCATGTTCCAGGCAGCAGTTACCGCCGCCGTAACTGCAGCAATGGCACAAGTGAATGCTGGAGGTGGAACCGACCCACAGAGACAAGATGGAAGTCAGGGACATCAAAAAGAGTGTTCCTACAAAGACTTCATGAATGGAAAACCCAAGTCCTTCGACGGAAATGGAAGTGTCATCGCCCTGAATCGATGGTTCGAGAAGATCGAATCCATCTTCGAAATTTCCGTCTGTTCTGAAGCAAACAAGGTGAAGTTCGCCGCCTGCACCTTCACCGACAGAGCCTTGACCTGGTGGAATGGTCGAGTCAAAACCCTAACCCTGCCAGTGGCTAATGCCATGGGTTGGGAAAGACTGAAGGAACTCATGCTTGCGGAATACTGCACGAGGGGCGAAGTGCAAAAGTTGGAGCACGAACTCTGGAACTTGAAGGGTTCCGACATCGCTGCCTACACCGCTAGATTCTGTGATCTGGCTCTCCCCTGCCCGGGAATGGTCACCCCGGAAAGCAAGAAAATCGAAAGGTACATCTGGGGACTGACACAACCAACCAAAGGGAATGTCTTGGCTGCTAGACCGATTACTTTTGAAAGTGCCAAGGATCTGGCACAGACTCTGATCGATCATGGAATCGATCTGGATGAGGTGGCATGTGTCTCCAAGCCACAAAAGGAAAGCGGTGGGAAGAAGAAGAAGTTTGGTAACAAACGAAAAGGCCAGTCTTCGCAAGAGCCCTCCAAGAAACAACAAACAGTGGCAGTTCATGCTGTTACTGCTCCTGCTGCTGCTCCAGCTACTGTCCCAACCACCCAATCTCCTACCGGTGGTTATGCTGGAAAACTACCCCTATGCAACAAGTGTAACTTCCATCATCACGGGCCCTGCCGTGAGTTAATTTGCAACAGCTGTGGGAAGAAGGGATACACAGCTCGATACTGCAAGAAACCCAGCTCAACCAACCAACCAGGCTCCGGGAGCGGGCGCTGGTCAAACTTGTTATGGATGTGGAGAGGCTGGGCATTTCAGGAGAAACTGCCCCAAGGCAACAACTGGTGGCAATACAGGAAGAGTTCTGGTGATGGGCCAGGAGGAAGCAGTTGCTGATCCTACCGTTGTTACGGGTACGTTCCTCCTTGACAACTCTTATGCATGCATTCTCTTCGATTCTGGTATGGAGAGGAGTTTTGTTAGTCATGCATTCAAACATCTAATCAAATGTAAATCCCAACCTCTAACCGAAACATTTACCGTCGAGATGGCTAACGGAAAGAAGGAGAGCACTAACGACATATTCATAGGCTGTACTCTTACCCTAGACAATTATTCTTTTCCCATCGATCTTATGCCGGTATCCATCAAGAGTTTCGACGTCATTATCGGCATGGACTGGTTGAGCTCCAATCGTGCTGATATTCTTTGCTTCGAGAAAGCTATCCGTCTCAATCTTCCCTCTAGTGAAGCTCTCATGATTTACGGAGATAAGTCTAGCTCGAACCTTCGTATTATTTCATGCATCAAGGCCCAGAAGTATCTGCGGAAGGAGTGTCATGCATTCCTAGTTTTCATGTTGTCGGCGAGACGCAAAAAGTTAGAGACCTCAAGAGCATCCCCGAAGTCTGTAACTTTCCTGATGTTTTCCCCGAAGATCTCCCAGGAATCCCTCCCGAGCGCCAAGTCGAGTTTCACATCGACTTAATCCCCGGAGCTACTCCTGTAGCTAAATCTCCTTATCGTTTAGCACCGGCAGAAATGCAAGAACTATCCAGCCAGCTCAATGAGCTAATCAGCAAGGGATTTATAAGACCGAGTTCTTCACCCTGGGGAGCTCCGATCTTATTCGTGAAAAAGAAAGATGGATCCTTTCGGATGTGCATTGACTACCGAGAGCTGAATAAGCTGACCATCAAGAACCGTTATCCCTTACCCAGGATCGACGATCTCTTCGACCAACTTCAGGGAGCCAACTATTTTTTCGAAGATAGATCTAAAATCAGGATACCATCAGTTGCGAGTTCATGAGAATGATGTGCCCAAAACAGCATTCCGAACTCGCTATGGACACTACGAGTTTGTAGTAATGCCCTTTGGTCTAACCAACGCACCGACAGTATTCATGGACCTGATGAATCGGGTGTGCCGCCCTTTCTTAGACAAGTTCATGATTGTGTTCATCGATGATATACTTGTCTATTCGCGGAGTGAGGATGATCATAAACAGCACTTAAGGCAGGTGTTGGAAACATTAAGGGCAGAAAAGCTATACGCGAAATTTTCGAAGTGCGAATTCTGGATCAGGAAGGTAAATTTCCTTGGACACGTGATTAGCAAGGAAGGAATACACGTGGACCCTTCCAAGATCAAAGCGATTGAGAATTGGTCTGCACCAAAGACACCCACAGAAATCCGACAATTCTTGGGTCTCGCAGGCTATTATCGCAGGTTCATCCAGAACTTCTCCAGAATCGCTAAGCCTTTAACTACCCTGACACAGAAGGGTGTAACCTTTAGTTGGGGAGCCAAGCAAGACACTGCATTTCAAACATTGAAGCAGGCCCTGTGCAGCGCACCTATCTTGTCCCTGGCCGAAGGGACAGAAGACTTCGTTGTCTACTGTGATGCATCCAATCAGGGCCTAGGCTGTGTGCTCATGCAACGAGGAAAGGTTATCGCCTATGCCTCGAGACAGTTGAAAACGCACGAGTTCAATTACACAACTCACGATCTAGAGTTGGGAGCAGTGGTCTTTGCATTAAAAATCTGGAGGCACTATCTCTATGGAACCAAGTGTACTATCTTCACCGACCATAAGAGCTTGCAGCATATTTTTGATCAAAAGGAGTTAAACATGAGACAGCGGCGATGGGTAGAGCTACTCAGTGACTACGAGTGCGAAATTCGCTATCATCCCGGTAAGGCCAATGTGGTAGCAGATGCCCTCAGTCAAAAAGAGTATTCAGGGCGTAAGGTAAAGGCACTAACAATGACCATCCATTCCCATTTGTCCGCGCAACTCAGAGAGGCTCAGGTGGAAGCTTTGAAAGCAGAGAACGTACGAATGAATAACTGCGAGGAATGGACAAGAACTTGGAGCTCAAGGGAAACGGAGTGTACTACTTCATGAACCGGATCTGGACCCCAAAGTACGGTGGTTACAGAGAAGTTGTCATGAACGAAGCTCACAAGACTAAATACTCCGTTCACCCAGGTTCAGATAAGATGTATCTGGATCTCAAACAACTCTATTGGTGGCCAAACATGAAAGCGGAAATTGCTACTTTCGTGGGCAAGTGTCTGACTTGTGCCAAGGTAAAAGTAGAATATCGAAAGCCCTCAGGTTTACTTCAGCAGCCGGAAATTCCTGAGTGGAAGTGGGAAAGGATAACCATAGATTTTATCACCAAGTTACCCAGATCTCCGAATGGGCACGACGCCATTTGGGTAATTGTCGATCGGTTGACAAAATACGCCCACTTCCTACCAATCAAAGAAAACTTTAAGATGGAGAGACTCGCCCGAATATACCTTCGAGAAATAGTTCGCCTTCATGGGGTACCTGCATCCATTATCTCCGATCGAGATAGCAGGTTTACATCGAGGTTCTGGCAGTCTCTACAGAAGGCTCTTGGAACTAAGTTGGATATGAGCACGAGTTATCATCCGCAGACTGATGGACAGAGTGAGAGAACAATTCAGACATTGGAAGACATGTTGAGAGCCTGCGTCATCGATTTCGGCGCGTCATGGGACACTCATCTTCCTTTGGTTGAATTTTCCTACAACAACAGCTACTATACCAGCATCAAGGCTGCGCCGTTTGAAGCCCTCTATGGCCGTAAGTGCATATCCCCTCTGTGCTGGGCTGAGGTGGGTGACACGCAGCTAGCCAGGGGTCAAGTCCCCGACAGTACTCTCACTGGTCCTGAGATCATCCGAGAGACAACTGAGAAGATTGTACAAATCCGGGAACGACTAAAAGCCTCACGAGATAGACAAAAGAGCTACGCCGATAAGAGACGAAAACCCTTGGAGTTCCAGGTTGGTGACCGCGTCCTTCTGAAGGTCTCACCCTGGAAAGGCATGATACGCTTTGGAAAGCGTGGAAAGCTAAACCCAAGGTACATTGGACCGTTTGAGATCCTTGCTAGGATCGGTCCCGTAGCATACAAACTCCATTTACCACGGGAGCTCAGCAACATCCACCCTGTCTTCCACGTATCGAACCTAAAGAAGTGTCTGTCCGATGAGACACTTGTGATTCCTCTCGGCGAGATTGAAATCAACGAGAACCTCAACTTCGTGGAAGAACCGGTCGAAGTCATGGACAGAGAGTTCAAACGACCGAAACAAAGTCGCATCCCGAAAGTAAAGGTTCGATGGAATGCGAAGCGAGGACCTGAATTCACTTGGGAGCGCGAGGATCATATGAAACAGAAGTATCCGCGTCTCTTTTCAAATCCATGATTGGTATTCTATGTTCGAATTTCGGGACGAAATTCCTTTTAACGGGGGGATGATGTGACAACCCGAAATTTCTCGCGAAGAGGCAAGACAACCTCTAACCCAAAACCACCAACGATTCCCACAATCGATTTGCTAGAGGATGGAGTCAAAGAAATGTGTAACACTCCCAAAAAATACAATAAATTTAAAATTTTTAAAACCAACCAAGCATTAAAATTGTTTACAAACAACTCATTATTTCAAAGTATTATTTCAAATCAAAGTTTTTCTCAAGACTCTAAGACATAAAACTGGAAGCTGTGTACAATCACGCCTTTGCCTTTCCTCAATCCTCAGAAGTACCTGAAACCACAAACTAAAAATGTAAGCCAAAGCTTAGTGAGTTCCCCCAAAGTACCAACACACCACATAACAAGCAAGCATGCAACATAAGCAACCAGTCTGACTGGACCGCCTCGCAGGGCTTACAGCCTATCTGGACCGCTCCACGAGTAGCCGACCTGATTGGACCACCTCGCAGGGCCTACAGCCTATGCTGTGACAACCCGAAATTTCTTTCGTTCAAATCGTTAAAAATAAATCAATTTGGAATTTATTTATGCTCTTGCCGTCATTATTTTGAGCTTAATTAACTATTTTAGGCTCAGTTCAATTAAGTGTTGGGTTCAAAATCGAGGTTCCTAAGTAAAAGCATAGCATCCAGGCCAAACACCCCCTTCGAGAGGAGTTTACGGCCGCAAACTCAGTTTACGGCCGTAAACCCCGTTTACGACCGTAAACCCTGTTTACGACCGTAAACCCTGTTCATGGCCGTAAACCCCCCACCAACCCCTTGGCCGTAAACTCACCCCTATATAAGGGATGAGTGACCTTCATTTCTCTCTTTACACATCACATGAGCTTTCTCTCTCTACTCTCTCTCTACCTTCATCGAAAAGTCTTCAAGATCTTCAAGTTGTAAGTGTTTTTCACCTCTAATTGTTGCTTCATTCCTCTATCTAGTGGTAAATCCATGTTCCTATCTCATTAAATCTCATCTTTGTCTAGATTTTCTCTCACACCAAGAACACCAAGAACACACACTAGTTCTTGGTGGCTAAAAACCTCATTCCAAGCCTCTTACAGTAAGTAACTACTCCCTATGCTTGGCATCTGCTAGAAACTTTGGGTTTTCACCTAAAAATCGACCCAAAAGACATGAACACAAAGGGTTTACAGCCGTAAACCCTGTGTACGGCCGTACACCCCTCATTAGCTATGCACGAGGCCTAGAATATTTTCAAGAGGCTAGAAATGACCTTGAAACACCGAAAATCGTATCCCTCATCAAGTGTTTACGGCCGTAAGCACATGGGCCGTAAACCCATGGACCGCAAACACCTGGCCGTGAACCCTGGCCGTAAACACAATAGTTTGGTCTTAAACTCCTTAGATGCAATCCTTTGTGGTCATAACACTTCTATATGAGTGTTTCCTAGCCCTAAGATGCTTCACTCACTTGATTAGTGGGGTAAACACTAATTATATCCATTTGTGTCCTTGTATGCTTATTAGGATCTGTGTGTGTACTCAAGTATCCACTTGACATCTAGCATCCTATACCACTCTTTCATCCAAACAACTCACTGCAGGTGAGTTCATACCCCTACATTTTTCGTATTTTTAATGTTTTCAGAGGGGAATACAAGCTAAACATAAATGTTTTCAAAATTTATGCAAATTTCATACTTTAACCCTTTTGTACTGTGTTGAGCATAAGGGACGTTTTCACTAAAATTGCATAGTTTTCCGGACACGCTATTCACTATACATGCAAACTATAATCGGTATAGTTTGGGATTTTCTAAACATAACAAGTACATAAACTTTCACTACTAAACATATGCACTTAGACAGAAACAGTTACAGTTTACATCACTACTTTATCATGGTATTCATAACTGTAAGTATCACTACATACGGTATACATACGGATTTTCACTATGGTAGAACGCTACTACACTACATGTAAACTAGATTGTACGATACTGTGAGGCGCTACTTCACTACTGTACCCCTAGGTGTACAGGGATAAATCCTATCATAGTATAACCAGAGTCTCCTGGAGGGAGAGCGTGAGATTTGTGAATAGATCTATTCGGGACTGACAATCCCACACCTGAACTGCTAGCTACAGTTGGGAAGGCATGCCTAGGGTGACAAATGTCATTTAACTCGACGCCTGAAGAATGTTGGAAAGGTCTCTAGTCATATCAAGCATGGTTATACGACTCACAATATGTAGAAATCACTCTTGGTTTACAAACTGTCATTCTTCAACAATTTTATTTTATTAAATAGAACTAATACACTCTACAACTGGAGGATTTCCAGGGTTTTCAAACAGAACCGAACATAGAATGGTTTCACGTACGAAATACTTATACATCATACTAGCATTAGTTAGTCACATGAAGTATTATTTTCGTGCATCACTACAGTTTTCAGTAATAAACATTCACGATTTCATACAGAATTGAGAACACTACATTTTCATTAAAGAAAATATCGGATTTTCTTGAAACTATACAAACACTTTTACGAACTCATTAACAAGTTTTCATTACAAATTACCGCTTATGAACTCACCAGCTTTATGCTGATATTCTTTCAAACTGCTTGTATTCTTAGGAAATCAGTAGGCAGGTATTTGCTGGATTTTTGAGGAACTGGAGCAATAAGAGTTTTGTGTTTATACCTTACAAAGCTATTTGATATAATTCAAACAAGTTTCAGACAAAGTTTCAAACTGATGTAAACGTTTTATTTAAGTATTCACTGTAATGGTTGTGTTGCTATGATTGCTATTATTCATTGGTTGTGATGCTACGCATGACGTCGTCCACCACAGAACGTTTCTGCCATTCTGGTTTTGGGGTGTGACATATGCGAACCGCTCTACGGGCCACCGTCCTTACTGGACCGCCTCATAGGGCCTACAACCTATCTAATCGTCCCCAGGTGTCTTGGCCTAGAGCACAAAACAAGAACGCCTCAACCTAAACCAACATGTCGACATATGCAAAAAACAAACATAAACACAGAGCCAACAAATATAGATAATCATACGGATCTAACAGATCACTAAAGCATAACAACATTCTATATACCAGGATACAGATCTAACAGATCACTACAATATAGCAACATACAGTAAACCAGGATATCAATACAATGAGCCGGTATTGGTGCATTCGACCTATAAGTACAATAAGGAAAAACTCACATTTGGCAACAAACCCAAAATAGAATCACTAATGTAACTAAACTGGATTCCTAGTTCTCTACATACCTATAAACATATTAATAATATTTATTTAGCTTTTCTTTCAAGTATGTGCATATAATATTCCTTAGTATACATTTTATTCACTTCTATTATTATGTCGGTAACGATTACTCTTGAAATCATTCACGTTAAGGTATTATACTTAAAATGTGACCTTATATATAAAATACTATCTCGCCAAACATTTAAATGTTATTTCTAATATTACCCAAATGGTATACTATAATTAAGATCTTAACCCATACAACATAATTAATCAATTTAATTTTGTTACTAAAATTGTTATGTAAACGATAAAAGCAAACCATCCTTATATTCATATTTACTATCCCAGAGAAACCTTGATCAATCATATGTCAGATTTATTAGCTTGCCTCAACATATTCATTTTACTTCAAATGAACCCAAATCTTAAACCCAATACCTAAAATGACCCACTAAGGATTAATCAGCATAAGAGGTCCAATAATAAAATCAGGTGGGTCGTGATATTGGACTGACTTCTATTTAGCTCAATTAATCCAAGTCCACAAACCACATAACTTAAAAGCCCAAACTGATTAAATGAAAGTCAAAAGGTCAAAGGGGAATCACCTCTTCCACATTGCACATCATCCACAAGGAGGCTGGCACCCCTTCTTCTCCGTTGAGCTTCCTGACTCCGGCGATGCGCAACTCTCTTCCCGACGATGCCCCTCTCCCTTGCAACACCTTCTTGCTGGAAACATACACGGTTGTTTGGGCATTCCATTTCCACCAAGAACTCAAACTCAGATATGAAAATGGTGGTTGTAACTCCTTCAAAACAGCTTGACTTTAAATCCATTCAAGCATATCGACAATGGTGTCATCGAACCTAGACCTGCCCGCCAATTGGAACTTCACTGATGTGCCTCTCCTTCTCGGTCTAATATTGTTGGGTTAAGCCTCCATGGCATCCCTCTCTACCTCTTTTTTATCTTTCTCGACACATCTGGTCACCAGAGATGGTGGCTGAGGTTGCTTTTACTTTTTTTTTTTTTTTTCTTTTCTTTCTCGAATCTCCCTCCCAATCTCCTTTCCAGCCGAAAAGAACAAGCAGCAGAGAAAAAGCTTGAGGTTGGTTTTGGTTCTTCCATAAACGAGAGGCTTGGTTGTTTATAATATGGATTTAGTTGCAGGTTCAAACAAAGTGGGTGAAGATCGGTTTGAATAGCCAAGAGGGAAGCTATTTGAGGTTAGGGATCAATCTACTTTCGAAAGAATCATAATTTGCATGCCTAATTTCGGAAAAATGGAGCCTGCGGTGTGCTCCTATGATGCGTGTTCTGAAAGAGAAAGAAAGAGACACAAATTTTTGATTATAGGCACAAACGGTGCCTCGGGTGTGGTCTTATTAGGCTTTGCGGTATGGATGCATGCATCAGAAGACGTCTAGTGCTGAGGTGGCAAGGCATCCTATGCGTGAACACCGTCCCAGGTGCACGTACGTGCCTTGTGGCGTGGCTACAGCTAACGGCGAAGACGGAAAAGTTGATTGGTTGATGACTTTTTTTTGACCGTTTTCCTCCTTTTCCTTTTGAATCGTTGCATTTAATAAAAATAATAAAAAAAATTCAAACTAATAGTTAACATATATATAAATACATACATTCTAAATTTAAACAAACATATTTTCAAACACTCTTTCAAACACACTTTCAAACATAAATATGAATAATTTTACGGGTCTGATTTCTTCTGCATCCGATGATGATGACGACTCTACTGATGATGACTAGGTGTTGCACACATTGTTGTCTGCGGTACGCGAAAGGGTGCCACAAAGAGGCGAAAGCTCAAATGTCGAGAAGAAGCATAGAATTCCGATAAATCGGGATCGTATCGCGGCACACGAACTTTTGGTACGTGATTACTTTGCCCCCTGATAGTTTGTACGACCTATCAAAATTTGAAGAACGATTCTGTATTAGTAGAAATTTATTTTTACGTATAGCTAAAGATTTAGAAAAAAATTATGAGTTTTTCCAATTGAGATGAGATGCTAGAGGTAAACGTGGTTTTAGTACAATACAAAAATACACAACAGCTCTTAGACAATTGGCATAAGACATAGCCACAGACGCGTCAGATGAGTATTTGAAAATGTCTAAGAGGACTGGTTGAGAATGTGCTTATCTTTTTTGTGAGTATGTCATAGAGCTTTATGGTGACATATACTTGTGACATCCAACTAGAAATGATGTCAAACAGTTGTATGCTGCACATGAAGCTAAACATGACCTTCCAGGAATGTTTGACAGCATTGATTGTACACATTGAGAGTGAGCAAATTGTCTGAATGCATGGCGAGTTCAATTCACACGAGGTGATCATGGCGTGCCGACTGTCATACTAGAGGTCGTTGTTTCACATGACCTATGGTTTTGGCATGCATTCTTTGGTATGGCGGGGTCAAACAACAACCTGAATATGCTTGGAGCATCTTCAATATTTTACAGGGTAAAGCACCAAACATGTTGTTCGTTGTGAATGAACATCAATATAATTATGAGTATTACCTTGGTGATGGTATATATCCAGAGTACGTTACGTTTGTCAAGTCGTACTCTTTTTCGGCTGATGAAAAACGAAAGTTAGCATAAGAATCAGCAAGGAAGGATGTGTAACAGGCGTTTGGGATCCTCAAACAAAAGTGGCACATTATCAAACATCCGACACGGTCATGCGATATGACAAAATTGACGAAGGTGTTGACTACTTGTGTTATTTTACATAACATGATAATAGAAGAAGAGTGTAGGACTATTTGTATGTATACTCCAGACGATATGCTTAATCCACTTGCAGTAATACAAGTCGGCAGCCTGGCATACTTCACAAGACTTTTGGAAATACAAAACAGTTAAACACATCATAATCTACGTTATGATTTGACTGAGCATATATGGCAAAGACAATTCCAACAACATGATGGCAATGACGATGATGAGGATGAGGACACGGATGACGAAAACGGGGTTGGTGACGACGCGGACGAGTAATATTTTCTATGTTTTTTTAGTAATTTAGGTTTTAAATGTTTATGTTTTTTAAGTAATTTAGATTTTAAATTTTTGTTTTTTAAATTAATGTAAAATGTTTTTAATTACTATTTATGTTTTTATTTTTGTTTAATAATTATTTTTTATTTATTCTATAGAAAAAAAATAAAAAGAAAAATGATGTGGAGTGGTAACCATTTCCAAGAGCTAGTGGTTTCAGTGGCGAGTCTAGAATCGAAACATACGTGGTTCACTACCTATGATTGGCTTAAGAAATAGTTGGGTTCAACCATAAAAATAACCAATTCAATATGTATAAAAAGAGACAGTGAGAGGACCCGGTCCAAATCTAACACTCCTTATTTTATTTTATCTTTTTTTACTAAAATCAAACTTAAATTTAAAACAAAGCCAATATGTTAAATTAGTCATATGTGTAGATAATTACCTATCGTATATTTAAAAAAATAAACATGTACAAATAACTTGTTATATTTTAACAATACATAATACTTTTTTTATAAATGTGTAATATATATATATATATATATATATATATATATATATATATATATATATATAATATATATATATATATATATATATAACTTATTTTAATCAAAAAGTGATATTGTAAACTATCATACATTTTTTTTAGAAACCACAAGCCTAGCAAGTAACTAGGCAAGGACAAAACAGAAACAAAAATAAAAACAAAGAAAATAAACTACCTACCTATGCATTTGTAAACACATGTGTAGCTAATTATTATCACGTAGTCCTTAACAAATGTTTGAGAAGAAAATAATGTGGAAATCTATTTTTTTTTTTAAATTAACAAAATGGATATAGAATCACGATCTGAAAATTGGGCATCCGTCAATTCTTCCCAAAGCCGATATATATTCATTTTTTATTATAACAAAAATAACAAAATAGAAATAAAACTAAAATAACTAATAAAAGACATGTTATCTTTTGGGCCCATTCTCTTAAATTCTCGTAAAGAGATTCAGGAACTAAAGTCCAAGAGCCTATTTTTGAATCTAACCTAACTGTATTTCTTTCTTTTCGTAGTCGCCTTCCAAAGCTTCAAGATCTGCATTTTCACCGATTCACTTCTTTCTTGTTGTCTCACCACCCCAAATTTCTCCATCTCGTTTTTCATTCTTTTTCTCTAAGGTAGGTCCTTCCAAAATTTTAAAGTGGTTCCTAAATGTTTTTGTATATAATTTCTGGTATTATTTATAAAATTAGGTGGTTCATGTGACCCACCTTGGGTATACATAAACTCGCTCCTGAGTGGTTTGGTAGTGAGTTTGTAGTGGAGCTGACATGACGCTGAGATGACATCATTTTTTCGGTGGGTTAGGTGTGACCATACCCCTTAGCCTTAATATGATCTACCCTTGACTTCGAAATGTCTATACAAAATCGATTTTTCCTGAAATTTACAACTTAGACCCTCAATGTATTATTATTATTATTATTATTATTATTATTATTATTATTTAATCCCTTTACATCTATATAACACCTTTTAATTCATTAGGTCACTTTTTTTTTGAACGGCGGGGTTAGTGGTTAGCAGTTAGTATCACGAAACCGTCAGCGCCTAGAATAGAACTCGAGACCTCCAATCTAAGAGGCAAAACCTCTACCAAAAATAAATAAATAAATAAATAATTAGGTCACTTTCCAAACCTATAAAAACTCAGTCTTTCATTGTATAATTATTCACATTATTTAGTAACCCTAATTCGAAATAATTAAACTGAAATGGGGTGTTACAAAATGCCAATAAAAAGAATTGAATGTGTTGTCATAATCGACCTTGAAGAGAAATGTTTTCCGTTTATTTTTTTTACCCCGGTGTAGATTTTGTTGATGATTAAAAGGGTCGTCCGAAATATTAGGCTTTCGATAAAGTCGGTCTAAATATCGTCAATCACATTGCCAATGATCCGTTTGATACGATTGACGAGCGCCTTGGTGAAGATCTTGTAAAGGCACCCGATGAGACTAATGGGTCTATAGTCTTTGAGAGCGAGGGGATCCTTAATTTGGGGATTAAGGTTATAAAAGACGAACTGACACCCTGGCGATCCTTCCGCTGGCTTCAAAGAAGTTAGTGAATCTCATGATGTCCTCTTGCATTAAACTACAATATCTTCTTATGAATTTAAAAATAAAACCATCGAGCCCGGAAGCTTTCTTGCCGCCACAGTCCCAAACAGCCTCATTGATTTCATCCAAGCTAAAGTCAAGTTCCAGTAAAGCATTGTCTTCAGGGGAGAGACGTTTGAAAGTTTGATTGAGAAGCAAGGTTTGACTGTATGTTTCTTTGAACTTATCTTCAATGAAACAAAGAGTTTCTACTCGGAAGGAGCCTGAGGAGCATAGACATTGACGAAAATGGTCTCACCTGTCGTCTCGTTCCAATAGCCAACAATCGCTAAGAAGTAACTGTTTTTTATAATGGAATTTTTTTTTGAAACAAGGATTTGTCCCATATGCTAATTAGGCCTCTAGATCTCTCAGTAGCTTGCACGAAATCGAAATCGAAATCAAGATTACCCCATCCAAGCTGCGACATTTCAACTTCTCCCCTGTTCCCATGCAGCGCGTCAGCAATCGCCTGAGGCCGATGACACTGCCGGATTTCTGCCTAGTAGGCACTTTTTGATGGTGAGATCTCTCCGTCTTCAAGGATCACATTTCCGTTGACCCATGTATCCGAGATAGCATCTTCATCCTCCTCAAGTTCTTCTTCCTTGGATTCAGGAAAAACCGTTGCAGAAAAAGTTTGAACGGAACCCAGTTGTCGTCAATCTCAAAAATGTCAATCTTGACATGAGAACCATCTAACTCGACAACGATCTCCTCGTTTATTTTCTTCCAAGAGGTAGTGAGAATGCATAACTTCCCATGAGAGATATCATTGTTGGTTGAGAATGGTTGAGGATGATCCTCACCCAATAAATTAGTTATTAAATTTAAAAAACGTTTAATCACGTCTATAATTTTTTTTTTCCCAGTGGTGAGGGATAAAGAAAAAAGATCTTCATCATCAACTTTTCAGGATCTAGTAAAAAAAAATAGATCGATTAGTGAAGAAGCTGGACAA